AGCTCATCCAGAGTGTTGGGTCTTGTGTCTCTCAACTTTCTCTTCACAATATCCCACAGATTCTCTCTGGGGTTCAGGTCAGGAGAGTTGGCAGGCTAACTGAGCACAGTAATACCATGGTCAGTAAACCATTTACCAGTGGTTTTGGCACTGTGAGCAGGTGCCAGGTAGTGCTGAAAAATGAAATCTTCATCTCCATAAAGCTTTTCAGCAGATGGAAGCATGAAGTGCTCCAAAATCTCCTGATAGCTGCATTGACCCTGGCCTTGATAAAACACAGTGGACCAACACCAGCAGCTGACATGGCGCCCCAGACCATCACTGACTGACAACTCTTCTCGTTGTGCAGCGTTTTCTGCCACACAGACTTCCCACTGAGGTGCTTTGATGCAGCACTCTGGGAACAGCCTGTTCGTTTACAAATGTCTTTCTGTGTCTTACTCTCTTGCTTGAGGATGTCAATGATGGCCTTCTGGACAGCAGTCAGGTCAGCAGTCTGACCCATGATTGTGGTTTTGAGTAATGAACCAGACTGGGAGTTTTTAAAAGCCTCAGGAAATCTTTTGCAGGTGTTTAGAGTTAATTTGTTGATTCAGATGATTGTAAGTCATTTAGAAAACCTTTTCATGATATGCTCATTTTTTGAGATAGGGAGTTGTGTTTTTTCTTGACTTTTTTGCTAAAATCATCAATTTTAAAACAATAAAAGGCTTGAACTACTTCAGTTGGTGTGCAATGAATCTAAGATACAGTATATGAAAGTTTAATGTTTATCAGTACATTACAGAAAGTAATGAACTTTATCACAATATGCAAATTTTTTGAGAAGGACCTGTATATATTATGAAGCTCACTTGTAGCCATCTCCATATTGAAATAAATGAGTGCATTTATTGCTTTAGGTTTGTGACACCATCGTGAGACATTCACAAAGCATCTGATCAGAGCTACACTGCTGCAGGCAGACAGGTTCCTGCAGGACAGTTCTCTGAAGCAGCACTGATGTCCATGGAGGCTCACCCAGTGCTGAAYAGGACCAAGACGTCTGATGTAGTTCAGGAGCAGCAGTAGTGCAGTGGCTCTGTACCAGGTCTTCATGGAGAACAAGCTGACTCTGCTGAAGATTCTCATCACATCTCCTCTGACCACAGCTGAATCTGAGAGGAGCTTCTCAACATTGAAGAGAATCCAGACATTCCTCAGGTACAACATCACATCTCACTGCACTGACCATGCTCTCTACAGAGAAGAATCTGGAATCTGGTTAAAACATCCCTGACTTTAACCAGAGTCACGAAGAAAGTTGCTTCTCAGTTACAGAAGAGCAAAATTTACGTACTAAAAATAAAAACTACATGACTGTTTTATTATTTTGATTTCACCAGACGCCACTGATCGACAGGCAGATTTGGTATAGTAATGAGAAACTATGATGGAGTAGATTAGGTAGTATCATCGTCATGTAAAACTATGAAAGACTATCTGAAAAAGCAACACAGAAAAAGAGTGACTTACTTTCACTGTGGTGGTAAAGTTTCTGGTCATATGGTCTTCTTTTCTTATTCATAGTGGCTCGTTGGTCTAGGGGTATGATTCTCGCTTAGGGTGCGAGAGGTCCCGGGTTCAAATCCCGGACGAGCCCCATATTCTTTTTTGTACGAACAAAAAAAAAAAAAGGAAATTGTGATGTGATGTAGCTTTATGTAGATAAACTATTGTCACTGTTTTTACCATTTTGTTCTCGACAAAAGCATTTCATTCAGTTACAGAGTGATCAACATGTGTAAAAATAGATTTAGCAGCGTTCAAACCACTTCCTGTACTGTATTCAATATTTAGAACCATTGTAGTGGCATATCAATCGATTTAAATCTATTTTCGACAATCCTCATCAAAAATTAAAGCAAAATGKAATGACCCCGACGTGATTTGAACACGCAACCTTCTGATCTGGAGTCAGACGCGCTACCGTTGCGCCACGAGGTCCACATTGGAGAGTAATATTATTATGTATAAAGGAACGGCAATCAGCACATGTGGTTGTATGTCGCTGGGATTTATTTATGTAAGCCAATGTTTGTATAAGTTTCAACCTATTCATCCACAATTACATATAAAAACGTCACATGTAGCATGGCTTAGAAAGTGTTCTAAATGCATCATCTTATTATGATGTCACAGGCCGGTTAGCTCAGTTGGTCAGAGCGTGGTGCTAATAACGCCAAGGTCGCGGGTTCGATCCCCGTACGGGCCATGTGCTTCTTTTCTTGACCCTGATTTTTAGTGGAATGTAGTGGAACGGTGTCATCGTTCACTATTTGTTGAATTCAGTRCAAGTATTATTGTAACACAGGCGAAACAAGGCAAATATTTTTTTTTTCAACAAAACCTCTGTAAAATGTCTTTATTTACACATAAACAAAATGCAGTATCAAAATGTCACAAGAGTAATGTTAAAATATTGTAAGCAAAACTACAAGAAGTCTTACAGACATTTTAAAACTTAGAAGACTAGAGAAAAGAGGACTAGTGAAATACCACATGCAATAAAACAATAGCTTGTTGTTTATTTCACTGTTGTACCTTTTCCTAGAAACAGTTATTGAAGTTATTGAAGTTTCCAGATGTTTCCTCAGCTACTGCAGCATCTGTCTTCCAATCCCACTGCAAGTGTTCCTGAGGTCCAGGATTTGGGATCCTTATGCAGTGCAGCAATCCCTGCAACATAAAGAGAAACATGCATTTGAAATTTTAACAGATTTTATAAGCAAAGTCATGCATACTGTATTTCAATGAGCATGAAAAATAAAATAAATATTGTCTGCTATTACCTGTTGACCCTCTGATGCGTGGCAGGAAATATTAGTTTCCACTTCATCCTAATGGACATAACAGACAAGCTGATGATCCACCACAATGTAAATAATATACTATTTTAAAAAATCTTCTAAAAGTTTTAACTATACCTTTACAATAGCAAAGATTATGCCAGTAAATCAAGCTTATGCCTTATTAATATAAACAATAAACACTTGCTAGTTGGGATATAGTGATGGATCCTCATTAAACAGATTTTTTATTAATTCATTAAAAAATGTATTTTGAAAGCAAACCTAATAAAATTAATTTGCTTATGATTTTAAATAAATTATCTAATGAATTAGATAGTAATAAAATACACACGTTTCTGTAACTATAGTTTAATACATTTTTAAAAGCATTATCATCTTACCTCGTTGATGATGTTTACTGTAATCCAAGCAACAGATTGTTAACTCGTTCCCAAACTTAGGAAGTTTAAAAACAAAATTATTTTTTATTAATTGCCATATTCTGCTGCAAAATATCACCTAATTTCTTTTTAGAAATTTGGATACCTTATGATGAGGTTGTGAGGAAAATTTGATCGGTGATTAAACAATTTTGGGGATTTTCCAAACGCTACTACAGTTGTTTAGATACCTGTCAATCCAAACAACCTAAAGTTCTTCCACACAGTAACAACAAAGATGACGGGGAAACAGCGCCCTCAGAATCTCGCTGGTGGCTAAAGAGTGCATTACATCCGTAGTGTTAAGAAAAACGCCGCAGGTCACAGGTTTGATCCCCGTACAGCCCAGATGATATTTTATTTTTTGTGTGTGTCTTAACCCTGATCTTTTCCGATATAAACATGACGTATTTTCCGTTCAATGCACATAAAACAATGACTCCCACTACCTTTCAGTTTTAATGCTAACTTTCTGGTGATATAGCATGCGTTGGTGGTATAGTGGTTAGCATAGCTGCCTTCCAAGCAGTTGACCCGGGTTCGATTCCCGGCCAACGCAAAATTCTTTTCCACCGTTCTTTTGGTGATTAATATTTGCCCGGTATTTGTCTTAAAACACAGGTGTCGAACTCCGGTCCTCGAGGGCCGCTGTCCTGTATGKTGTTTTCCTGCTCAAACACACCTGRTTTGCATGAATGGATGATTAACAGACTTCTACAGAATTTAAGAGTTAATTGAAACACAGAATCAGGTGTGTTGAAGCAAAGAAACAAGGAAAACATGCAGGATAGCACCTGAGTTTGACACCCCTGCCTTTTCTTTTTTTTATCATTGGAGTTAGAAAAATACTAACTTTTAATATAAAACTTGACGACTACTACTACTATTGACCAGATGACAAATATAAATAGGATAACATCCGGTAGCAATGGCTGACAAGTTTCCAGTGTGCAAAATATTTATTTCCTCTTTTCCTTCTTGTTATTCCTTTCACGCAAACACACATTAAATAATAATGAACGGAGGCGTAGCTCTGCAGACAGCTGGAAAGCATGTACTTGTTGAGGAGGAGACGTGTCTCTCCTCCACCCAGTACTGTACATTAATTTGTTACCCTATATTCACCCGTGTTGGTCCTGCTCACTCTCTTCATCCTGGCGTTGCCATGGATATGTTATTCCTATGGCAACTGCATGCCTTTGTAGATGGCCTTGAGCCCCCACCATGGAGGACTCTCTGAACCTTTCATTACGCATTTCCTTCAAGCTCACGGGGAAAAAAAAAAATCACACAAGATGCACACATTTCCTCTCTCTCTTTGCCTCTATCTCTCTCGTCCTTATGTCTGGAACACCACAGTCGCATCATTTTTTTATTTCAAATTTCCATCAAACTATAAGTTAGCAGGTGATCTGATTTGTGCTACCGTTCTCTGCCGTGCGAGTCGACGCTCTGAGCTTTCTAATTTTCGGTGGCAGTGGAAACTAGAGCCCCGCTTTAAAGATGCATGAGGAGTCTGGAGAAACAGAGACGAAGGCTCGACCGGAGAAAGTGTTTCTGTGTCAGAGAGAGTGAAAGGCCGGGATGGGAGTGGTTGGTGCAGACTGACTCTGAAGGGCTTCAGGCTGAAGCAGATTCCAGTGTCTGGGCCGTGTGTGTGTCAGTGTGTGTGTCGTGTGCGCAGCAGGTGGGGTGCCTCCACCTGCTGAATGACCCCTGTTAGCATCGGGGAGTACCATGGGCTACGGGTGGGCTCAGCCCTGCTCAGCATCGTGGCCGGCTGCATCATCATCGGGGTGTCCCGGGAGTGTGATGCTGATGCTGTAGGAGGGATCTTCCTGGGAGCCGGAGGCCTTGGTGAGACGGAGAAACTTTGTAGAAGATGGGAAAGTTAAAAACTTACTGTGTTTGCTAAAATCCCACAGAGCTGCAGTGATTTTCACTAAAAGCCTGAATCATAGCGATAAGACTGAATTTGCAAATTTGAAATTTTAGACAATTAAAAGCATTTTTTATTAGCTGGATTATAATGTTTCCGAGGCTGCGGTAGTTCAGTGGGCGGTGCTGCAGTTTTATAATCTCAGGTCGCAGGTTTGAGCCCAGGTTGTGTCAAGAAGGGCATCCAGCGTAAAACAGTTTTCAAATATTTTATTTCTTCCCGCTGTGGTGACCCTTGCACAATGAAGCAGCCAGGAAAAAAGTATTTTAAAATGTGTTTTTTGAAAGAGGCCTTTAGCATTGTTAGTTTTGAAAATTACAATAACAAAGTAATATTTTTATTTGTCCGTATTCATCCCCAGAAAACATGTTTGTTTATTTGTTTTATTTGTATATTTTGATTTCAAACAGGGTTTTTGTTGAATAGCTGCACCAAGTCACTCAGTTTTTTTACTTACTAGAGAATTTGCAAAGCTGAAAAATCTTTGCTGAATAGCTAAAAAAGCTTAAATTAGCCTAAAAATTGCTGAAATGGCTGTAATTAGCCCAAAGAAACAAATAGAGCACGTGTTTGCTGAAATAAGCAGTAAGAAGCTGTAAAGTAAAAGCTCAAATTTGTTTAAAAAAGTACCCCCCCCCCCAAAAAAAAAAAAAAAAAAAAACCTGAAATTAGCAGAAAACAGTTGAAAGAAGCCCAGAAATGTTGAAATTAGCTGAAGAATACCAAAAAAAGGTCAGAATTATAGCTTAAAAAGTTCAAATCAGCAAAATAGAAGCTGAAACTAATATAAAGGAGTTAGAAAAAGCAGAACAAGAACAAAAGGTTAAAAGTACAGTAAAGATTCCTGAAAATTTTGAAGGGTTAAAAACATTATTGCTCATTTTTAAAGAGAAAAAAACATTAAGTTTCTTTACATTTACTCAAGTTTAGTAAATCCAACAACCTGTTTTTTGAGTGTATAAATTGTGGGAAAATGTCAAAGCTGGAATGTCCTGAAGAAGCTAAACATTTTGAGAAATAAATAGTTGAAATAGCACAAAATGTATGAATGAGAATATAACGGAAGGAAAACGGATCTGGGTAATGCGAATGCTTGATGAGCATTAACAAAACTCGGACACAGATTCTAACATATCTTTAATTAAATTGCATTTGAAGGTGTGTAATATCATAAACCTTTATCAGAAGGCCTATAAAAGTGAAACAGAGTGCTGTTTGTTTGGACGAGGATCAAACTCATGAATATATGTTAAAGAGGAACCTCAGGGTCGGTGACCTGTGACATTTTCCATCCGGCGTTCATTTGATACAACAGTGTAACCAGAAGCAGCTGATCGCAGGCGGAGCTGCGTGGCCAAGATAAAGGCGTGTCTTTAACCGCTCTTCTTGTCCAGAAAGAACAAAGGGCAGAACTTCTGATCTGAGGCAGACAACATCAGCGTGCATAGCTGATGTGAAACGTACTCTCACAGACCATCTGATCCGCTCTCAATAATTAATTTGTCTTCCTATAACTACTAAATTTGCAAATCAAATCAGTGTGACAGAGATGTCCCCCCCTTTCCCTTCTCTTGCAGCAGCATCTGTGCAGCTGAGCAGTGTCTAATTATTTGGAAGGGGCTGCCGCCATGACGCCTCCAACACATAGGCTGACTAATGAGTATGAACAGAGTGTTCTCGGCAGATTGTTTTCACTCCTTCTGCAGTTTTGTGACATTTCGAGCGCAGACGTGCATCACAGCCACCCTCAGGAGCTACCAGCCTGTAACGCCGGCCCTTCAGGCCTTTAAGGCAAATCAATAACTGGGTTGAATTGGAGCTCGGGGCCACAGAGAGGCACACAAGCCCCGTAGCTCCGATATTACTTTGTACTCCAATCAGAACAAGCATTTAAATATGCCAGTTATTAAGCAACGTGAGATTATTTGTCAAATTATTCCTCCTTTCTTCAGGTCTTCTCATATCGATCTTCCCCTTTATAAAAGCCTGGCTGAACATCAACAACATCTTCCCACCTTTTGGTACGTTTTTTTGCAAATGATACGTCAGTTCCATCAGCGCATTTATAAAAGAGAAGGTTTGTTTTCTGCCTTCTTAATTCTTCAGGAAACAGAGTTCACCCCGCAGCAGCCGAACAACCAGCTGAAACGCTGAGAAGAGAAGGTGAGTGGGGAAAAACAATGATACAATTATCAGTTTAGTATGCAGCTCTATTCAAATAAAATATAAATAAAAGTTTATATCTGTAAACACCATTAAGCATCACCTCACCTCACAGTGTCAGCTTTTTATTTCTGGGATTAAATTCCTTTACTGGTGCATCTAGTCTCATCTCCTCCACTCACCTGTTTGTGATGAGAATTCATCCCGTTTTACCTGCTGTCCTTCGGTCTCCTCAGGAACTCAGAGTCAGATCCAGCTGGAGCGCTCCAAGAGTCGAATGGGAACGTTTGTAGAAGGAGGACCAATGACTGAACCCAACCCAGATGAGGGGTATTAACTTATAAACCTATTACATTTGTTGCAACGAGTAATAAAACTAGGCTATTATAGCTAACGGACCAGCAGTTTAAGACTCCGTTTTAATCTTAATATCTTGGATTTTATTGTAATCTTAATCTTTATACCAGACCATGACAACATAATTATACATTGTGTGCTTGGCATTAATAAGGTTAGTGTCTATGTTTCAGGGCTACATAAATGTATTTGCATGAGATGAACAGTGCAAGACTTTAAGACAGTGATTCCAAACCAGGGGTACATGTACCCCTTGGGGTATGTGAGCATATTACAGGGGGTATGTGGAAAAATTTCCCAGGTGTGTAAAAAATAAATAAAAACAGGACTGAGATATGTAGAGCCCTATGATTTCTACAATGCGGAAAATGCAAACGGAATCACAAAATTGACACAAAGTGGAATCCTGTATAAAACGCTGAATCTCATGAAATTTGCTCATTTGGGGTATTTGATGTGTTTTGGACGTTGCTGCTTCCTGCACCTGCCATACCTGGTTTATTTATATAATTACTTATTCACTTTCAAGGCAATGTATTTATCTTTATGTTTAATTTGAGTTGAAAAGAATAAAATGCCTGAGAATTAAACATTCTAGGGGGTAAAATAAATAATTTTCATTTAATAATCAGTTGTAGTACATTATAGTTTTGGAGAATCATCATTACGTTTGACAGAGGGGGTACTAGAGGTATGACAAAATGGCTCAGGGGGGTACGCAAGTCTAAAAAGGTTGGGAACCACTGCTTTAAGACACAGGAAATAAAATCCAGTAAATATAAATGCACATAAGAGYTTTTGATGATTTACGGTTGTGTGTCAAGTTTTCAGCTAAGTCTTGTAGAATCACCACGCTGGTGCAAAAGTACTATTTTCTGTCCGTCAAACTGTAATATGTTTGATATGTTTCAAATATTTAATTAAAAAACTTTGACAAATAGATGTCTTTGTTACAGGCTGCTGGTATTAAAGTGTCTAAGGATCCAGTTTTTCTTTTTTTTTTTTTTGCTGAAAACTATAATGTCTTATCTCTTAAATGTATGGAGTTTTTAGTGCCTGGTGGCTTATACAAAAAAGTGTTTCTCTGAAAATGATGAGTGGACCAAATGGGTGAAAAACCCTGTCAGAGTAGAACAAAAAACTTTGAAAGACCTTCAAATACTACATTGAAGTCTGACTGCCAGCCTCATTGAATAACAGATTAATCCTCTTCATCCACACAGTTTCAACCCTCTCTTCTGTGTGACTCATTCATATCTGTTGCAGGACTTCAGACATGCCAGATGTCTTATCAAGACGAAAACAGAAACCATCACCTACTGATCAAGACTTGCCATGAAATCGACACGACGAACCAATAAAAATATCAGCTTCTGAACAAATGTCTCAGCTGATGTGTGGGCTGCGATCACCTCGTCATACTTTAACTATTTCATCTAATAAACCCTTTCAATTCTGGTTAAACAGTGCTGGATTTCCTGGTAGAAAGTGGGACGAATAAACCAGTTGGTTATCACCTTGTGACACAGTTAGGAATTTGTGTCATGTGTTAAAAAAGTTTCCCCTCTGCAAACGTTTCACACTTATTCCACGCACAGAAGTGACCTGCACCCCACCGTGCAACACAATGCCCGTATTCAGGAYGACACAGACCAGCTGCTGCATGAAAAGGCAGCGAGTGGAAGAAGGCTGCTGCCTGACAACACAACGCAGCGTGCTGTGAGGCTGAATAATGCCGAGCCGTGTTGAGAAGTCCAAMCCACCGGGAGGCTGGAGAGCCGGCGGCGCCTTGATGGCAGCCAGCAGCTTGATTGTCGGGTCTCAGATCTCAAGGCCGGCCCRCAGAACCGCTCTGCATCATAAAGGAGGCTCAGCCCGTTCAGGATGGGTGACAGAAACTGACGTAGTGAATGAGCACTACCTGATCAGCTTTAAACTTTATACTCTAAATGTTTTTTATAAAGAAAAGGTTTATAATTTTGTTATATTTTGCTTTCAAGGAGCCAAACTTTCCTTTAACTACAAAAAGAAGTCTTCAGCAATCATTTTTCAGGCCTTCTGAAGATATTTACTAAGTTTACTTGGGATTTTTGCAGATTTTTTTTAAAAATAATTTTCTCTAATTGTTTTACATGATGATCATAACAGAGTGGAAATTAGGAAAATGAACAATATCCACAGCAGAAAGCAATAAGTGATGAGATGCGTCATCCTCCAACTCTGGTTTAGTTAATAGCTCTTTTGGGACCACCAAAGATGCCAAAACATTTTAATACCAAACTGCTTTTTTTTTTCTTTTTACATGTAAAAA